AAGAAAGAAAGAAAGAAAGGTTTTTCTTACGTCATTAGGAATTTTCTTTCTTGATATCTGCTCTGAGGTATTCAGGAAAGTTCCTGTCCCATATTTGCCATTGTTTTTGTGTTTTGAGCCTCTTTGTGCATTTATTACATTACAGGTGTGGTTATAAACTTCAAAAGCTGATGAAATGCTAAACAGTTTTAATACTAGGAAAACAGACCCAGTGTAACCAGGGGATAACAAGAACCATATAAGGTGCTTATATGTCAGTGAAGTTTTGCTATTTTTGTTAAATGCAAAAGCTGTTTCTTAGGAAATGAAAAAAAAGGTAGTTAATATCTTTATTTTTGAAAAGTAAATATTACCTTTTGTTCTTTTTTATAGTGATAAGGTAATAAGACTTACTCCCAAAACAGAAGAAGAAGCATATGCACTGAAGAAAATATACCACCAGCTCAAGGTAACAGAGCTTCTACTCACTTGTGCAATAAAATTATGCTTGTTATTTGTTTTCAAGGCTTTATTGACTGGAGCTGAATAATTGGATTTAATCAGCCAGGAGAAGTAAAGGCTAAGAGATTAATTGAAATACTATTTAAAGAAAAGTTAGGCTACTCAAAAACTATCTGATGGATCATTTATTTACTAGTTCATTTATCTATCTTCCAGCTAGCATATAGGCTTTCTGACAGAGTTTGCATATTTTTGTTCATTGCTACATTCCTAATATGCATCTGTAATATCTTGGAAACTCGGTGTTTTGGCTTTCTTCTGTAATGAATGAATAATTTTAGTTCATGGTTTTCGAGTTTCACTTTTCCTTCTTGCAATCTTCATAAAGATCACTTCAATATTTTGCTTCTAATCAAAGCTTTAAGTAAAAGTAAGCTGAGGAAAGTAAAAGCTAGATATTCAAGCTGATTCATGTTGCTCTATGTCAGTTGATCTGAAGAAAATTTTGTTTGCAATGGATAAAAGCTCTGCTTATTCAATCTCTGATGAGTTTTATAGATTTTAGAGTTAGACTTTCTCATTTTTTCCATTACGGTGTGTAGCTGAGCGTTGGTTTAACTCAAAAGCTATGATGAGAAGTGTGGCAATTGGCTCTCATCCACACCTACCAAGACAGAAGGAGGCCCTTAAAATATGTGCTGGTGCAGCCTTCATTTTAATGGATGGCACAGCAGATTACTAAAGGGCCATCATTAATCTTTAATATGAAATGGAAAATTAGTTTTCCAGACGATAGAAGTATAATCCTATTTGGAGAAGATGCTAGGGCCTGAGAGGAGAAGTTAAACTTGCTGGTTTCTAGAGATATTTGTAATTATCCTATTTTGGCCTTTATTCAGGACTTGATTTTTCTTTTGGCATCTTCCCTTTGAATATTACATTTATTTGTCAAGAAGTTATGAACTTGAGTATACTGAATTCCCTTTCTTCTCCCTTCTTCCTTGCTCCTACACATGCAGTGCTTGGTTCAGGCACTGCCACACCATTACCTTCCCAAACTGTGGTTATTTTACCTAAAACCTGAGAGGCTGTGTTTACCGGGCATCACCAAACCTCCTCTCCTCCTTGAAGAATTTCTGCTTCTGTGATTCTGACAGTAACCACCTTCTAGTTGTGTGTGACTATCAATCCCCATGGTGTTCTTCTCAGTAGTAATAGCTGAACTCTCTATACGTCCATCAAGGACTTAAAAGTTGCAACAAAATAAAGTGAATTTTGAGTAGAAGCTTCCATCTCTGTTGAAATTGCATTTGAATATACTGCTGAGGAAATAAAATAGCCATGTTCACTTTAGGGTAATATTTTAGGGGATAAATATTCTGATCCAAAGACTAGAACCAAGAATTCTTCTCCAATTTGTAAATCTATTTACCTGATAAGACTTCCAAACTTGTGGAAATGAAATTTCATAATCGTATATGTTATAATCACTTGCCATTACCCAAAGCAGTAAGATTGTGCAATGAGGGCTATCAGAGGGGGTCTTAGCTACTCTTCTCATTGCTGAGCCAAAATACCCAGTACCCAAAATTAAAGGAGGAAAGGTTTACTTTAGCTCACAATCTGTAGAGGTTTCAGTCCATAACTGGCTGGCTCCGAGACACACTGGCATGGTAGAGGGGACATCACGGAGGAGAAACAGTTCATGGAATGGCAGGCAAGAAGCAGCGAGCCAGGCTTCCTTCTTTCCCTTTATATTCTATGCAGACTACAAGCCTGTTGGTTGGTACCACCCACACCCAGGGTGGGCTTTCCCACTATCTGTACCCAGAACTATCAGTGGACTGATGTAGTTATCATACCTTTAATCCGTATTCGCACATCCTAGATCCAGCCACCTCCAAACACCCCACCTGTGAGTGCTTGAGGCTTTGGGGAGACAACTGCTAGATGAAAGCTGTAACAGAAGGGGTATTTATAAATCTCAGAAATCCTCATACATGGAAGCAAAAGACATTGAGCTATGTGGAGTTGCTGGCATTGATGACCCCACATTTATATTGGGCCTGTTTTGGCAAGCATTTAAAGGAAAACATTCGAGCAAGTTGTTTTCATTTTGTCCTTAAGAGAAGGTAGTCAAGTGGAGAGGAAATGGTTTGGATATAAGGAGCCTCAAGGAAAGCTGAGAGAAGGAAAGAAGAAGGAGCTGGTGAGGAAAGAGGGAGGAGAGTTAAGGGGATAAAGGGAGTTAACTTTAGAATACTGATGAGTGCTGCAGCAATTCCACTGCACAGAAAATTACACCAAGCCCTTCTCAGTCGCTCGCAGTTCAGTGTACTATAAATTACTCATTGGAGGATTCTATGAAGTAAGTACTGTTATTATTGCCATGTTACAGGTGAATAAATGGAGAGAGACAGATAAACAGAGATTAAATAACTTGGTCTATCACAGTGTGGAATTGAAACAAGCATCTAGGCCATGCCAAGCCCTTTAGGACCTGGATGAGGCCTGGCCCTTGCCTCCAGTCTGTTTGCCTGTGCATCCTCACAGTGGAGAGGGTTAGGCTGAGTTTACAGGGCAGTGGAGTCTGACTCAGGTTACAAGTGTCATATGTGACTGTATTGCTAAAGTCAGTGGTTACCATTACTTCCCGCAGGTTCAGGATTTTCCAGGAGGCCTCTCATGCCTCAGCATATAACCTAGTCACAGCTATGATTTATTACAGCAAAAGCATACAAAACAAAGTTGGCAAAGGGAAAGGGGGCATGGAATGAAGTTCAGAAAACCCAGGCACAATTTCCAAGTGTTCTCTGCCAATGAACTCGTATAGGGCATGCTTAATGCCCCACCTCTGCCTCCGCAATTCAATGTGTTGAGTTGTGACAACACATTTGCAAAGATGTCTGTCAAGGAAGCCTGACTTGGTGGCCAAGGTTTTGTTGGGGCCTGATCATGCAGTTACATTTTGCCTGGCACATTCCAGGCTCCTTGGAAAAAAAAACAAGTATTTGCCATGAGCCATCATGTTTGCACAAATGGTTCGGCATGTTGAATCACTCTTGGGAGTTACGGTGATAAGAAGCCTCCCAAAGTCTAAGTTCCTAGATGCCGGCCAGGAAAAAAACCCTACAAATAGGCCTCTCTAAAGAGAGCAATTTTCAGGTTTGCTTTGTTAAATCTTTCCTGCACATTTCTTCACTTCCCTTACTAAAGAAGTAGCTTATTGGACTAAAGTTTGAAGCATGGAGCTTGGATAAATTTCTATCTAAAAGCATCCTGTTACCTTGATGTTGCTTTAAATTTAAATGATTTCACCAAGTGATCCATTTGCACTATGGAAAGCAGCACTTCCGACCAGGCAGAGAAAGCAGCCTGCAGAGAAAAAAGAATGTGATTGTCTGTCATCTTCCACCCTGTGGAGCTGATAGGATAGAATCGGGCCTTTGCTCACAGCCTCCTTATATACACTGTGTAGTGCCTCCGGGGGCACAGGAGGAAGGCTTCCTGAGAAGACTTTAGTTACCACCTTCTCCTAAAGCACTACATGGTAGACAGAATTCCAAGATGGCCCCAGGATCTCTACCCTCTGGTGTACTTGCCCTGCAATTGCTTCCCTGTGAATACGATGATGCAGTCCTTTGCTGGGTGATATTGCCTTATATGGCAGAAGGGCGATTACCTGGAATGGGCTTGAGCTAAACAGGGAAGCCCTTTAAAGGTAGACTTTTCTCCAGTTATTCACAGAGGAAGTGCTCCTGCTGGTCTCAAAGTCATTGATGAACTTCTGTATTATAAACTGTCCATGGAAGGCACATGCCAAAGAATGATAGTTGCTTCTGCGAGGTGGGACTGATCTCTAGCTATTAGGCAGCAAGAAAAGGGAGGCAACAGTACTACAACCATGAGGACATGGATTCTGCCACAGATACATAAGCTTGGAAGAGGCTCCTGGGACCCAGATGAAATTACAGCTCTGGCAAAATGCAAATTTTAGCCCATTCCATCAAGAAAGAGAGAATCCAGCCAGCCATGCTTAGGCTTGTGATATACAGAACTATGAGATGATGTATGGGTATTGTGTCCCACAGCAATATAAAACAGACAAGTAACAACATACATCTTGGCCTTTGGCTCCCAGGTTCCTATGTGAAGGCTTCAAATTATTTGGATAGCTGAGATAATTGTACTACTCATTTGTATTAGTTCATTAAAAGGAACAGTTAGTGCCTATATTGTTTGATCAATTTTGTATGCCAGTACCGGGTAATCTGAGCAGCTACCTTGAAGGTAGCGATATGTAATATAATAACCATCCTTAATTTCCTGTCATCTTGTTTTGAAATTCTGTATCGTTTTTATTGCTTTTTGTCTCTTTAAAATAAAAAAAATACAAAAAATGTCTTTTTATAACAAACATCTTAAGGAAGATGAAAAGTGGTTAGTCTTCTTGGTTGGGCTATAAATTCACAATGTCATCTCTGAAACATGGACAAATTCAAAATGTGTATACAATACTGAGTGGAATCTGAGAAGCTACGGTCAAAGCATAGCTAATTAAATACACAACTGCTGTTACAAAGCTGGTTACTTTCCTAATTAAATTTTATGGTTTTGCTGAAGATTTGAAACAAGAAAGTTAAACAGAAAACCATGCCCCCAGAGAACTGTACTGAGAAAGCACCAACAAATTAAATTGTTAATTAAGAGCATAACTATGAGTTAAGTAAAGTTATGATGGAAGGGAACAGTTTGCAGGTGAGTAAAATTAGAATCTGAACACCATGTCCTGCCTACATTTTTTTTTACAAATTCTTTGTTTGTGCTCTGAAGGAATAGAGGTGGCTTTATGCAAGAACACAATGTTTCTATTATGGGATTGACACAGCTTTGTTGAAGCAGAAATTACTGACATTTCTGTTTCAAACTTTCTCATCAGAGGGCTATAAGATAAGAAACTGCCCCATTTTTCAAAGAGTTTGTCATTTTCTTCCAAGTGGAGCATAA